TACAGTCTAGAACCTTACATAATAAAGGAAACTGGTCAATAATTGTTTAAGACCACTGGCTTGAATTGTGGCATCCTGAGGTACATATAGTCCTTATATAGTATATAAGTCCTTGACTTATGACCGGTCACTTAGCAATCGTTCAAAATTACAACAGACCTTCCCCCCCCCCATTTTGAAGTTCTGACAACTGCACCAATTTTATATTTGTGCACATTTGCTGATGCACAAATAGTGTACAAGCTTACAACAAGTTGTATATCAGAAGCACCTGATGAAGCTGTGGTTCATGAAAGCTTAACCCGTTTAATAAAATGTGTTAGTTGAAAAGGGTCCTATCAGATTCCACAAATCAAGAATATCGATCTTACTCCTGCTTTGTTTTTGCCTATTTCACTTCTGATAGAAACTCTTCTTTGAAAGCAAGAAGACAGCCATTCCCCTAAGGGCAAACATAAGCTTTCCTGGGTATGCACACACCAGAAAACATGTAGACATACACACATGCATGCATATTTTAGTCCATCTGGAAATTTAAAAAAAAATGCAAAATCTGTGATCAGGCAACATATTTATTAACATAGAAAACAAAATGAATAAAAACATCACAAGATAGTACAAGTATTCCTTGACATACAATCACAACTGAGGCCAGAATAAGTATGAACCAGTTGCGAAGCATTCAAATTTTGATCATGTGACCACAGGGATGCTTCAACAATCGTGTGTGAAAAATGGTCATAATCACTTTTTTCAATGCTGTTGCAACTCACTAAACAAATAGTTATAAGTCAAGGACTACTTGTAAGGGACATTTGTAATCTCAAGGACTCTTCATCAGACTGGCTGTTAAGACAAGGGTAAAGTCAAAGTGAAATTATCTTTTAAATTGAACTTAACTTCTATGACTTTGTGGATGTATTTATAAGTTTCTTGGCAATAAAATGCAAATGGTTTTACAATGCTTTTGGCCTCAGAGTAGCATATACTGTGCATTTCTAGAGATTTGCATGTCCCATCCAAATATTAACTGGATCCAATTCTGCTTAGTTTCTTCATCCAGATAAAATCAGCTGTGTGCTGCCATCTGCCGAGAATAAAATGTAGGAGCAGATTTTAAAAATAGCTTTTGCACTGCACTTAGATATAAGCATATATACCCATGGTGGCGAACCTATGGCACGTGTGCCACAGGTGGCATGCAGAGCCCTCTCTGTGGGCATGCGCACTGTCGCCCCAGTCCTAGGCCTTCAGCTGGGTTTTATAAAAGGTTTTTGCTTTAGTCCTTTGCCGTGTGCAAAAAAAAAGTTCAATCAATTTCAACTTCTCGCAGAAAAAAAAAGATCTCACAAAGTTGGAACTGATTAATTGAACTTTTTAGCCCCACCCAGTCTGCCATTACCACCGCAGCCATGCCCACCCAATGGGCCATACTCACCCAATTGGCCATACCCCCTAATGGGCCACGCCCACCCGGCACCCATAAGTGGGTGCATGATACATAAGTGGGTTTTGGGTTGCAGTTTGGGCACTTGGTCTCTAAAAGGTTCGCTATCACTGATATATACCAAAATCAAAATATTTAAAAGTACTTATATAGTGAACCAAGCAGAAGAGGTATTACACAATGCCAATTTGGATACCTATTTTATGTCTATGGGTCCATCTTCATTGCCAGTAAACAAGTGAATACAATGGAAACATTTTCAAAAAGGTTTTCCCATTTTTTTTCCTAGAGAGAAAATGATTAGCCCAAGATCACCTAGCTTAGCTTTGCATCTAAGGCACCTAACACTAGAACTCATAGTCTCCTAGTAATCACTACAGCAAGCTATCTGTCCAAATTATCTCACATAGGCCATAATATTGTTTTGTCTGCAGGCTAAATATTGTTTTAAATCTTAAGCAAAAGTTTGACCTTTTTAAAAAAATGACTGTTTTAGCTCATTTATGTAATCTGATCATTTTAATAGGGCTGGGAATTTTTTTAAAAAAAGTTCTTCAGCCTGCTTTTAGAGATTATTAACTATTGCATTTTTGTTATTTTAATTTTCTTTTATCCCATTTATCACTTAAGAACTATATTTTTTGTCAAGCAACTAATAATCCTTCTAAGAACCAGAACTGTAGGCTAGATTAGGATGTGGGGAAAGGTATTCCCAAGTATATGATGCAAACCACTTCCGGTTTGCTGTCAATGAAATTATACAGACACGTGCAGGAAATCACCAGGAATAAGGAGGACATGAAATATTTTTAAATAAAGTCAGAAACATTTATTAGAGATGAACCACTTCAAGTTCACAATTGGGGCAGGAAAAAAAGAAAATTAAGAATATTTTCTGAAGAAAAAATATTTAACAATTCTTAATATTTACCAAGGACTTACAGGTATTTATATCCAACTTTCTCATCAAAACTTACTTTTACATTGGCAACCCAAGACTATTTTATTCCAGGTAAGTTATTTGCCCCTCAAGTTTATTGTCATCTTGCCAGCTGCCTCTTTTTTAATTGCAAATGCCTTGAAATAAAGTAGGAACTGTCTGTAAATGAAAATATGTTTCCCTGAAGCCACAGATTTTTCCAAATTTAGATATTTGATTTATGCTATCAGAATAAGAGTTCATTTAAGCCAGAGTTAGCAATCTATGACCTATAGGCCACAAATCTCCCCATCAGTACCATATGGTTTTGATGCAGTATTGTGTAGAATGCAGAGGGTCAAACTAAAAAAAGGAGGTATTTTTACAGAATGGGTAGGGTTACGATATGTGTTTGTTTATCCCACCTTTATTATTTTTATAAATAACTCAAAGCAGAAAATATACCCAATGCTCTTTCCTCCTCCTCCTATTTTCCCACAATAACCCTGTGAGATAAGTTGGGCTGAGTAATTGGCTCAAAGCCACCCAGCCAGCCTTCATGCCCAAGGTGAGACTCATAGCCTCCCTGTTTTTAGACCAGCACTTTTAATCACTACACCAAGCTGTTAATTCTTTTGGAACATAGTCCTCCCTCTTCCTTCCTACAAATGAACCAGGTATTCTTTACAATCTCCCTGGAGCTACCCCGTGCAGGATTTCTTCAGCGAAGCATCCTTTCAGATTTTTTCCCCCTGGTCCATTCCCTTTTCTCCTCCTAGCCCAGTGGTTCTCAACCTTTCTAATGCTGCGACCCCATAATACAGTTCCCCATGTTGTGGTGACCTCCAACCACTTAAACATCACCGGGTGCCAGGGGCGTGGCCAAAGAAAAGCGGGAAAAAATGGCGGACAGCCTTGTTTGGCGACCCCCGTGAAATGGTCGTTCGACCCCAAATGGGGTCCCGACCCACAGGTTGAGAACCACTGTCCTAGCCCTTTTCCTGCCTAGTATCCAAGCTACTCCAATAGTGAAACCTATTTATGTTGAGCTTTGGGGCTTTAAATTGTTCTTTTGCCACTTGAGCAGAATAAATGATGCTGGCCCTCTTTTCAGGATTTTGTGGCTCTTAGCCCACACTGAGGTCATCCATAAGAACAGTTCTTGGGATGCTTCAGCTGAATGGGATCCACACACGGCCTGAACTTTTTTCTTAAGATCTGCAGCTTCCTCTTTGTTTGCTGTTACACATCTTAGTCATGTGTGAAAATGGGCAAGAATATTTGTTTAGCCACACACAATGTGTGCAGGTATATTTTAGCCCAATACGTTGCAGAAATCCAGCCGGTGCAGTTAGTTTTCTGGACAACCCAGACAACTGGAATTAGTAAATTGTAGTTTAAAGAAATATCATGGCTAGAGCACTGCAGACACACAAGCCTGTCTGCAAGGAGGTGCTCAAACTTTTTTCACCCCAAACTCTCGCCCATGCTTGAAGTCAGACGATTAGCCACCATCATTGAGGCCGAAAAGAAGGTAGGCGGCGCTACCTTCGTTTAGCTACCTGGCGACCCATGAGACACTTCAGGCCATCCCGTTCCCAAGAGTGTTAGAGTTATTTTGCTTTACGAGTGATTGACGAAGCCGAACTCCGAGCGGCAGGCCGCCACGAGACTTCGCGCACTCCGATTACCGGCCGAATCCGCGCCCGCCTGCTTTGTGCCAACTCTTGGGATTAGCCTGGATTTCACAGCAAATGGGCCGACTTCGCTCAAAAGACCGCGTGAAGGGGTCTCGGTGTGAATTGCAACAACGCATTTGCGCGAACCGGAGCTTAACCCCGGCGCGCCTCATAACGCGCGCAGGCTTTCTAACACCTCAGCCTGCCCTGCGCGAGGGATTAACGAGTTAATTCGTCAGCGCGCAGCCGGTTAGTTCTTTCTCACCTCCCACAACAGACGCGCACACAAACACACACACAACAGAGGTTTGCGCGCTTTAGCGTCCATTTGTTCTGCCCCTGCGTGTGTGTGTGTGTGTGTGTGCGCGCGTGGGAGGGAGGGGGCTCCGTTTCCGCGGTGTCGGCAGTCCCGCAAAGCCCCTCTCCAGAAGCTGCCGCGCACAAAGGGAGGAAAAACCCGCCGCCCTCGCGCGCTTTCCTATACGCTTCCTAAAAAGGGCGCGCGCTGCACGTCCCGCGACGGAACCGCATCCTGGCCTCCGGCGGGTGCAGAAGCCCGACTTCGCCTCCAGCCAGGTTGAATCCTCCCGCCGGGGGAAACCAGGGGGATCTGGAGAAGGCGTGGCCTTCCGTAGATGCCGACGGAGGCTGGATAGACGTTCGTGGGGTTTGGGGAGCCGGGCAGGATTAGCGGTGTCCAGACTCCTCTGAGTTCTGCGGGAACACGCTTCCGTTGTCCAGCGCGGGGTTCGCGATTCATCTTGCGGTATGGCTGCGCTGATTTGAGTCCTGCATTAAGGCACGAAGATTACATGCCGCTGCTTTACCTTCCCTGGAAAGATGCAGGCGTGAGCTTTTTTTCCGAAGCGGTGGACCAAATGGAAGGCTTTTCTGTCTAAACGTTGGGGGGGGGGGGAGAAATCTTCGCCAAGAAGGAGGAGGAGGGAAAAGCGATTGTAAAGCGCATCCTCTGCCGTTTTCTTTTTCTTTGGCAAGTTCCGCGCTTGGTCTTCCTTTGTAGGTTGCTGCACTAGCCCTATTCACTTTTGTCGGAGCACATCTCCTTGAACCGCGCTGGGGACGGAAATCTTCGGCTCCCGCAGTCCTAAGACTCTCAAGCAGGCGAAGTTTGGGGTTTTTTTTTTCCCAATTTGAAAAGAAAGGCTTCGCGAGAGAGACATGCAAGTCTCCATAGCGTGCACGGAACATAACCTCAAGAACCGGAATGGGGAAGACAGATTGATCAGCAAACAGACCACCACCGCTCCAAATGCGGTCAATGCAGCCAGAGCAAAATTCCGGACAGTGGCGATTATCGCTCGCAGTCTGGGAAGCTTTACCCCTCAGCATCACATATCTTTAAAAGAATCCACTGCAAAGCAGACGGGCATGAAATACAGGTATGGCAGACCTTTCGAGTCATGTCTCAGGGTATTTCTTTCCCTCTCACCATCCCATGCACCTCAAAGATTGTTATCCACATACAAAGTTATTGACATACGAAGTTCTTTTTTCCCAAAACAAGAAACAAACCCTAGGATCCTTTTATTTAGAAATGAAGTCCCTCCCCAAAAGTTTGAATCCTTTAGAAATCTTGTGCTTTGGATTCCAAATTTGTGGTAATATTGGTTTTGACACTGGCTGCCTCCCATAACTGGGATTTTGGTCTTTGCAGCCTCCGATAAGTTTGGGTGGTTTTTGTAATTTTCACTGAATAAGTGTTTTGATGGCTTTCCATTTGTATTTAGGGATTTTGGATTACTGAATCACACTTGAGGATCTGCTCAGGAGAAAGTTTGCCTCTCAAAGCACCTGCTGGGTTGTTCACAAAAGCAATATCTGTTAAGCTCAGTTATTTATTTATTTATTAACTTTATACGCCACTCATTTCCCTTTTGTATTCTGCTCGTAATTAACTTCTCTCCAACAGAGAAGGATTTGTTTTGAGTAAAATGTCGAAGGAAATTGTATAGTACAGTAAAATAATAAGTGTTTACCTGCAGAAGTGTTATTTTTCTCAAAAGAAGTCAAAGAGAAGGCAGTGAAGATGGTTGCTGAGTGAATTCTGAGATTCACTGTATTTTATACTGATTTTAAAGCAGGATGTTTTTTTTTTACTTGATAAAATGTACTTAATGGTGTAGTCCAGTGTTTCTCAACCTTGACAATTTTAAGGCATGTGGACTTAAACTCCCAGAATTCCACAGCCAGCAATGCTGGCTGTGGAATTCTGGGAGTTGAAGTCCACATGCCTTAAAATTGTCAAGGTTGAGAAACACTGGTGTAGTCAGAATGACTCCTTTGAGCAGTCATTTATTTGGCATTTGAAAGGTTAGTTCTTGAATACAAGAGTACAAAGCACTATTCCCACACCTCTCATAAGCAGAGTTGTTGCTTAGTCATCAGATCACCTGCTGAATTTACTGCAGTAACATTGTGAATGGTATTGAAGGAAAGCTGTAGATGAGAGTTTTAATTCCACTGAGTAGAGAAAGTCGGGGTTTGTTAGGCAGGTTTGTTCAGAAGTAGATTCTCTGTACTTTGAGCCCTACAAACAGGAGAATATGCAAAGTATTGCAGCTCTAGGTTTAGTTAGCTGATGAAGATAGGGAAAGCTTTCTTCTTATAATTTAATGCATGCATTTCCAATGAAAAGCACAATTTACAGTGGAAGAAGTTAAGGCGCTGGATTAGAGCAGGAAAAACCCAGGTTCAAGTCCCCCCTCAGCTGTCACTCAGCAGACTTTCAGCAGTCACACTCTTTCATTCCATCCTACACGATCAGGCTGTTATGGGGAAAATTAGAGGGTATGACATGGATCTCATCTTAGGGATTCTGTTGGGAAAAAGCAGGAAGTAAATCTAAGACATAAGTTAAACCAAGTCATCAAGAGAATCAAAAGATCTGATGAATCTGTTTTTAGATGGGATGTAATTCTGCTGGCACTATATATATATAAAGAGTCTTTCATCTTTTCCAGATCACTTCAGTTAGGTTTGGCTACATATTTTATATAGCTAATAGAACTAGGATGTTATATAGGATAGAAGGCAGAAAAAAGATACCCCGTCCGTCTCCAATTTGTTTCTTTGTATATATCTCTCCTGTATTATTTTTATAAATAACTCAAGGTGGTGAACATATTCAATATATTTGTCTCCTCCTATTTTCCCCACAACAATGACCCTGTGAGGTGGGTTGGGCTGAAAGAGTGACAGGTTCAAGATCATGCAGCTGACTTTCATGGGTAAGGTGGGACTAGAATTTAGGGTCTCCTGGTTTCTAGACTGGTGCCTTAACCGCTAAATCAAACGGGCTGATCAATAGACCATCTGTGAGAAGAGAGGTCTTTTGTTTCTCTCTAACCCCAAATATTCTCAGATGTAAAGTTCATGCAGTCTATCATGCAGAAAGTTTGAGATACATTCCTTGCCATCTTCATGTAAGAGCTTGAAAAACATCCTGGAAAAGAATTGAAAGTCAGTTTTGATAGCGTTGAAATAAGTGAGTCAGTGGTCTGATTCATTAGGCAACTTCTTGTTAGAGCTTAACTTTCACAAGTCTATAGGTAGTGATATTCCCACTCTTAAACAAAAAATGTAATACTTCAAAATGAATGGTACAAAGAACAAGGAGATGGGTCCAGGTCAAGGATGTAAATGGTGGTTATCATCAGATGAATGGTAGAACTCTAACTTTCTTCTCATTTAGGATATATTCCATTTTCCAAAGCTACCTTATAGCTATTTGCAGAGTGTTCTGAAAACCATCTATCATCTTCTTATAAATTGTACTATAATATGTTTTTTCAAGTTTTGGAAACATGGTAAAAAGTTTTTTTAAAAATCTCCAGTGAGTTATGGATGATTATGTGATATTACATAATAATATCTTCCTTTCATACTTTGAATGTCCTGGCGTTAACTAGGAAACATTTTTAGTTCTTATTAATTTTTAACCTTCACCTTTTAAACTTGTTTGTTTATACCCTAAATAACAAGAATCACCATTTTATAATCCTCATTGTTCAGAATTCTTTAGCTGGAAATGTATGAAGGATGTTGTGCATCACTCACAAGTTGCTCCTCCTTTGAAGCTAAAAATAACTAAAAATAAAGACATAAAATAAATAAGAATACCCTTTGGTCAAAGAAATGCTATGAGACATAGAAGGACAAAGTCACCTGGATTATACTGTGTTTGCAAGAACACAAGAGTTTTGCTGGGTCAAAACACATTCTTATCTAGTTCAACATTTGGTATCACATAGTGACCAATCAAGAATCTGGAAACTTCAATCACAATCCAAAGGGAATCCTCTTCTGTGTTGATGTCCATTAGGTGTAGTTATTCAAGATACTATATAACTATATCCAATTAACTAGCCCCATTTTAAAACCATATACATTGGTGGCTATTATATTCAATGGCAGTGAATTTTAGAGCTTATTAATTGAATAAAGAAATATCTCCTCAGACTTTGCCACAATTAGGTTCAGTTTGTGATTCTAACATCCGTAACATCAAGAAAATATATTAGATACATTCTTACCCATGTTGGATCTTTCTTCAGTTTAAATTTTATAGATCAACTATCAACTTTGGTTGGACTTCAGCTCTCCATCTTGGAATGTTAATGAACACATCTGGAGGGAACCAGATTGAACAAAGTTTCAAGTATTCACGAAATCAGTATAGGATGTAGATGACTGCTTGGAAAGTCAAGACAAAAAGCACCATGCTAAGATTGTTAACCAGACTTTGTTGTATACACCATACTTATTATCTTATCTGCCCTTATCTATCTGCCCTGAGTCATCCATAGTTGTCCCAAAGATGCTTTTTCACAAGGAAATTGGACTTCCTTGTTTTTCTTTGAAGATGTTTTGCTTCTCAACCAAGAAGCTTCTTCAGCTCATCTGGCCTTGCTTTGTTTCTAGAATTAATTGAAATGAAAGTTTGTGATCACTGTGATCTTTATCTAGTTGCTTATTCTTGACTTTCCAGCATATCGAAGAGTTTTGAGACCAAAGCTCTTTATGAAGAGCTTGAGATAGAAATTAATTTTGCACTTAGCAATTGCTCAAAAATCAAATTAGAGTTTGGTATTTGGTATCCTAAGAATCTCTATTTGATATTTAAAAAAGAAGTCTCTAAACTTTCTGATGAAGAATGGCTCAAAAATATATTATTGGAAAACGATCAAGATCTACATAGGTAGGACTTGGAGAATACATGAACTTCCAGGTAGAAAAGACCTAGTCATATATCTTACAGAATCATGGTAAACATTTACCTTTTGATAAGTAAAAATATTAGATAACCTGCTTTGGGGCTGAAAGCTGTCTTATGATACGAAAGGTCCTGTTTTTTTAAAGTTGCATTATGGTCATTAGAATGTTATGATAAAAGTATCTTTTGATTCTTGCTTAGGAAAAAAACATATATATATATAAGACTTTTTAAATAATACTTTTCAACAGAATATAGATTTTTTGCCTCATTATTTCACTATTTCATTATTTTACATTTGGTAGACATTTTTCGAACTGTCACACAGCTGAAAGGAACAGCCCTGTCAGTGGTTTTATATAAAGACCACGGACGAGATAACTATTGTATAATACAAAGGTTGAGCAAATAGGAGATGCAGTGAGGGACAAGAGGATCATGAATAGCAGAGTTTTGCACCAGATCACAGATAAGCAAGAAAAAAAATATTACTTTTAGTTTTAATGCAGTTCACACTCCAATGAATTCAAAGCATTACTAGATTTAGTAGAGAAGATTTTTTTTCTATTTAAAATTATCTGTTATAAACTTTTATTCCTCATAAGCTGATTTCTAGGTGCATTTTATCTTTATATGACATAGAAGTTCGAGTTGGAAAGCAATTTAATGTATCTGAGACAGAAGGAAACGATTAGGTTCACATATTGCTTTTAAAAATATCAATATCTTTCTGAATGCTGAGAGCCAGTTTTATCTAGTGCAGGGGTCCTCAACCTTGACAACTTTAAGACTTGTGGACTTCAATTCCCAGAATTCCTCAGCCAGCAAAACTGGCTGAGGAATTCTGGGAATTGAAGTCCACAAGTCTTAAAGTTGCTAAGGTTGAGCACCTGTGATCTAGTAGTTAAGGCTCCAGGCTACAAAACTAGAGACTGTGAATTCTAGTCCTGCCTTAGGTATGAAAGCCAGCTGGGTGACTTTGGACCAGTCACTCTGTCTCAGCTGACAACATCAGGCTTAAATGACAACTGGTCAATCAACTGGTCCTGTCTCAACCAAGAGATCAATAATCAGTGGATCTGAAAAAAGCAGACCCTGCACCTGTGGTAAAAATGCTTGGAAGTTTTAATATATGCACATATATGTACTGTATGTATATAACTGAAT